CTTCGCTGTCAGCGGCAGGAATGAAAAAGGCAGGGTTGCTGGCGTTCTGACGTCCCAATTCTCCTCGCGTTCTTTCTATGCCGGCACTCCGCTTTGTACCGCCGACAATTTCGATTCTCTCTCTCTCTCTCACTCTCTCACGTGCTCTCCTTCTCTTGTTGAGTTTTTCTCCCTACCTTTCTCACCCTTTCGCCATTCTCTCGATCTCCCTCTTCCGCCGGTTTCCCTGCGAACGAAGCTTAATGAATGCATTCGCTGCGGGGATTTCGAGTGAATTCGATCGAAGGCTCTCGTAGGCTCACCGCGTTCGTGAGGAGTTCAACCGGCCTACGGGAATCCGTTTGAAATGCCACTGATTTTGTTGTGCCCGGTTAAATTGCCGGATTCTGTCGAATGGTTAGCTCGGGCTTGATTAACTCGGCCCATTGTTGTCGGCCGAGAGTGCCGTTTGTTTGGAAGTTGAAATGCGTAATTTTCACTATAATAGATTTTTAATATCCAAGAGAGGAGCATTTGCTTTCTAGTACTTCTGCTCCGACAAGAAAAGTACTTTCTAAATCTTTCACAAAAGACGTCAAGAATATTCATTATTTCGTTAAATATCAAATAAATATTTAACATGTTGACTCTCTGAAAAGGTCACCAGATGTTTTAACACAATACACCGTATTTTGTTATGACACTAATTTTTATAATGTATAATAAATGTATAATAGAATTAAATCAATTAAGTTGTAAAATATTTAATCAAATTAATTAATATATAATTAAAGGTTCTTATGGGCTTAAATGTAACTAAAGATTTCAATCAGAACATTAATTTTTGCAGTATAATGTTTTAATTCAAATTAAGTTAATAACGTTCAAAATTTTTTAGTTGATATTATTTTATTTGTTCTGATGATCACAGGTGACTAACTGGTGGCAGTCGACGTGTTAACCGCGTGAGTCGTGAAACTTCACGTTCAATATAACAATGATAACGAGCAAAACCCTCGAAACTTGCGATCTCGGCAAACTTGCCAGTTAAATCTCATCAGGGATTTCAATCGCTTGATTAATAATACATCTTTCCCTGGAACACACCACCTGTTCCCGAACAGCGAAACGTGTTTAACCCCACCACGTTCGAATAAATCACACTGTCACGGCGAAGCGTACGCGCGTTGCGGTGAATCAAGGGCCCGGCTGTTCGTGCGGGCAAACGCATTAATAAACAATACGCTTCCATAAGTTGGTCGATTAAAACAGCTCGAACATCGGGACGGTGGTTAATTTATGCGAACCCTCGTGCTTCCACGTTCGCTTCAATCCCCTCTCCACCATCGTAGAATCTCCGCAGGGATGCGGCTACCCACCCCTAACGAGCCTTTTATGCACCGTCGGCCTACCCCTTTACCCATAAATTTCGACTGGCCAAATATTGGCACTGACGAGCAGCGAAATGGCCCCATTATTCGTATATCGTGGTATCCCGTGGAGGGGTCCGGTCTCCCGTTCCATCAAAATTATCGATACCGAGTCAACGAGACAATAGCTGATTTATACCACTCGTTTATGAGGTCGATAACAATTGTTCGGGCCGTGTAATCGCGACGTTACAAATTGAAGTAGCTGTCATTCGAGCGAACGAGTGATTGTTCTGCGTGATTTAGAATCGGGTTTTTCTTTGTTTTCTTGTTAGATCGTTGTCTCTCGCGGATAGAGGAATGTATTCGATCTACTTAATTTATGGTATTCGTAGTGAAATCGACGTAATTCCCATTTTTGTATATATTAGACACTGTCTGCTTTATTTTCAACGTGCGATATTTTCTATATTCTTGTAAAAGAGAAACCGTCGATGCAAAAATCTACGATCTGTGTTTTTTTTCCTTCTTTTGTTATCATTCGGTGGCTACGTAAATTTCATGCTACAAAAATAGAATGTAGAACTTGATAGAAAAGTGTGGCCATAAAAATGTAGAATTTGATAAAAAAAAAAAAAAATCTTTCTTGTGGCTATGTAAGCTTGATGCTAATGAAAATAAAATGTGGCTGCATAAATTTGATGCTAATAAAAAATGAAATTTAAAACTTGAGGAAAGAAAGAGCTACTCGATAAGAGAACTATCTCTAGCACAGTGCAATCTCGCCATTTTCAAAGTAGTCAGGTTACCGTTGAAAATGATATCGAGATCCATTTAAAACAAAGGAACGATATGACCACGCGAATAACGTTCCCAAACTTCCCCTTCCTCCGGGCATCCGCCAAATCTTCCCACAATCTCAAGCCGGAACAAGCCGAGCCGGGTTTCGGCGTACGAAATAAAAAGAAGCACGCCATTACACACTCTGGACAGGGCATTTTCTCGAAAAAAGACACGAGCTCGTGCTTTCGTGTCGAGCACGCGCGGGGCCGGTGCGGATGAGGGCGGAAACACGTGGGCGATCGAGCATGCGTATAATGGTTACATCGCGGTGTGTTCCCCGGCGCTCTCGAGCGGCCCGCTAAACTGCGATGTTTATGCAGTCCGGTGTAACGATGCACGCCGATATAATGCACCCACATCGCCGCCGGGACGACGCACGCCACTTGTCCGTTTCGCCGTCCAAGGCCCGCCAACAAAGCGATTCGCAGGCAGGATAGCAGCCGCGTCTCGATCCAGCCGATTTTCCTCCACATTGTCCGGTTTCAAGTCTCCGGCGCGAAGTTTCGCTGAAAACAATCGAAGCGAAGCGCGTCGAATCGCTGTCACATCGATTAGAGAGACTCATGCCCAAGATTTATGCTATTTGCATCTGCTGTTAAATGCTAAGGGGACCGTTTGTAGTCGAGGAGGATATTTGTAGAGCGTAGTTTTATGGAAATTAAAATTGATGGAAAGATATCCTTATATTTTACTGTTGAAATGTGAACATGAACCTGTATTTTATATTAGCTATTAATCCAACAACGATTGGAATTGGGTATTCTGCGATGAGTTTGTTTGTCAATTGAACTTGAGAATGGTAATTATACTTGAGAATGAACTTTGCGAGTATCTTGTAGAATCACGTTTGTTTAAAAAATCGGACATGAAAACTGTACTAATTGAAAGTTACGTATCTTACGAGAATTAATCGTTTCTAACCACTTCTTCTTGTGTTGAATATTCAATATTTTATCGATAAAGCGACGAGCATATAATGTAGCAATATCTGATACGAAAAAATCGCTAATAACTGTCTAAACAGCTAACAAAACGTCCAGTTGAATCCTAGTTTCACCAATCGGAATTGATTGCATGAAATTACCCTCTCCGTAAAGTCATGTGGATATAAGTGAAAAACGAAAATTTGGTGGATAAATCAGCGTGCTCGTTTCAATAAGACACGTTCTCGCGAAGGAGGAACGTTGTAAAGACAAACAGAAGCGAACGAGAGCGTCGGCGGCGTTCATCGAATTAACGTGCCTTCCTAAAAACAAGTTCCGAGAGTTCATTGGAAGTGGTGAACAGCGGCCGCTGCCATAAAATTCAATTTATTCCCCCTTGTTTGTTCTCACCGTTGGGGGAGATCGTCGTCGATAACAGATTCCTCCTGGCGTAGGCCATGATTCCATAACAATATGGAAGAGGACTTGGAACCGTTAACTCGCTTGTCCCCTCGGCTCCTTCGACTGCTTCTTCCCGTTTCCGGAACCCGTGGCTCAGCACGTTAAAAGCTTCTGGGAACGCGGAAACCCGCGTGGTGTTTACGTAACTCGGCAACACGCCGCCATATATTACGTTCAATCTTTATTTCGTTATGAATACAACCGGCGACGCTTGTTTGAATCAAGCGTCGTTTTGATACTTTGTCTTCAACCTGGCAAACCTAACCTAAACCAAACGGGACGCCATTAATGTTTAAGCAATGCGAGTAATTTCTGAAAATAAATTACAATATTTACCGAATTAAAGCTTAGTGATAATTACTGAACTAATACTAACTAATAACAATTGATTATTTATTGGTATTTGGAATATTAATACTAGTTGAACGAATTATTCCTTTTCTTCCCTAAAAAGTTGCCATATATTACGTGTAATCTTAATGTTATGAATACAAACAATTGTTTGAATCAAGCGTCGTTTTGAAACTTCAACCTAGCAAACCTAACCTAAACCAAACAGGACGCCATTAGTGTTTAAGCAATGCGAGTAATTTCTGAAAATAAATTACAATAATTACCGGATTAAAGCTTAGTGGTAATTACTGAACTAATACTAACTAATAACAATTGATTACTTAATTACTGTTTGGAATATTAATAGTAATTGAACGAATTATTCCTTTTCTTCCTTAAAAAGTTGCCATATATTACGTACAATCTTAACATATGAATATAATATTAATACTGCAGGCTTGTTTGTCAGTCTGGCAGTAATCAAACGTTGTACGTACAACACTAGCTTTTAATATGAATAATTTCTGAAAATAAATTGTAATAATTACTAAATAAAAATTACAGTTAATAATTACTAAACGAATAATTGGAATATCAGTAGTTGGAATATTAACAAACTTATTTTCTCTTTCTTGCAATCTTAACATTACATGAATGTAGTCAGCTTGGCTTGAATCAGTTTGAATCAATTGAGCTTGGTTCTTAAAAAACCTTTTAAGACCCGTTTGTCTTCGAGGTAGAAAATAATCAATGTTATATATAATAGTACAAGATGTAACTTAGTGTTTAATATGACTAATTTCTGAAAATAAAGTAACGTGAAATTGTA